TGTAAAAGAGAAAAAAAAAAAAAAAGTGCGTGAGAGATCATTGATATTTTTACTACCATTTATGTGAACACTCTACTTTGCAAGTGTTTTAGTTATTGTTAATGATTGAAAATAATTTTCGTTAATTGAAAATAAAGCGGAAATAAAGTCAAATATAAATATTAGAAAAAAAAATATTAGAAATGATCTCTTGGCAGCTAACTGAAATAATTTTAAGTTGAAGTACTACATTTTCTAAAACTGAAATTAAACTAAAGTTAAAAAGAAATATAAAAATCCCCCAAAAAACTAAAACAAAAGCGCATAACAAAATTATTAAACTTGAATTAAAAGAATATAAAATATAAAAATAAATGCCAAGCCAAAATATAAAATATGATATTTGATAATATAAATTATACATTTAATTAAAATAAATAAATAGCAATAATACAAATTTTTTTTACTCACCGAGTGAAGCCACCACAGTTTCTCAGCAGATCCACAAATGCCACTCCAATGAAACCATCAACATTCAGGATAAGGTTTGGTTTCTGATAAAGAGAGATATTTTATGAGATTTAAAAAAACAAACCCTACACTTGAATTTTCGTCTCGCCACAATGTTCAATTACTACATTAAATTAAGATGATCTAAATGTATTCATTGACATTTATTCATAGCTGATGCATTCAGCAAACACATATCTGTCTCACTGCATATAGCATACTGAAGATGTTCCGTGTTTTTCTTATTTTCCTTTTAAAGCTGCAGTCACATTTACTGTTGTATGGTGAAATTTGATGGAGGAAATTTTATCATTTCAACAGGAATCACTGCAGTCAGCAATTTGAATGAGAGGGAGAAATATTTTACAGTGCAGATTTCTCATTGGGTCCAGTTACAATGTTAATTCCATGGACAATGCTAATACCAGGTGCAAATCCATGACACACGCAAGTGTGTTTGTACCTTTGAGGTGGTGATCTTCTCCACCTCCAGAGCATAGTCCAGCAGCTGAGCAGCAGGGAAATGCTGCTTCACAAAGTCTTTGAGGATCTGTACCCGCATGTCAGGATTATTGATCTGAAAAAAAAAAATCAATCAATCAGTAAAGCCAGCAAAACAAAACTGTGAGAAGCAGTGTGAAATGACAATATTTCACACGTTTTTGAACACTTTCGATTTTCATGTGTTGGTGTACTCACCGATTTCACCCTGTGTCCGATGCCCATAATGAGTTTGCCATCTTTCTTCATTTTGTTGACAAACTCCATAGGCAGCATGCCACTGTCGAACGCCTTACTGAACTGCTTAGCAGCTGCGTCCAGGGCACCTCCGAAACGGTCCCCCTAAACACAAATAGAGCCAGTGATGAAACAAGATGCTCTTCTGATGCCAAGCAGACTGTGTGTGAGAAAGTGTTTAGTTCTCGTACGATGGTGAGGAGTCCTGAGGTCAGGCTGGAGATCAGGTCTTTGCCAGCACGCGCACACACTATGGTGTTATGAGCTCCAGAAACGGCAGGGCCGTGATCCGCCGTCACCATCAGACACATCTCGATGAACTGACATGCATAGCGCGGCAGCCTGCAGAAACGCACGGATTATGTGAAAGTTATAAAAGACTGAATAATACAAGTAAAAGAAAACCGCAGTAGTTTTCAAAACACAAAAAGTAAACCAGGATGCCACCCAGCCCAATCTCATTCTTAAAGGGGTCATATGATGCGATTTCAATTTTTCCTTTCTCTTTGGATATACAATATTATACAACATTTTTATTTTTAAACATTATTAAATGATTACAATTAATAATGATAATAATAATATAAGAACTGTTATTATTTATTACATTTTATAATAACAATATTACTACAGTATTACAACTACTACAGTGTTTCTCAAAAATGGTCCTGGGCACCCCCCAACACTGCACATTTTGCAGTCTCCCTTATCTGACACACCCATTTCAGGTCCTGGAGTTTCTTCTAATGAGCTCATGAGTTGAATCAGGTGTGTTTGATTAGGGAGACACACAAAATGTGCAGTGTTGGGGTCTGGAACCAGAGCAGACCGAGGGTGCCGCCCAGCCCGATCTCAGACTTAAAGACCTCAGTAATGGGCATGCCTGCATAAATGAGCTCCTGTCCTCTCTCATCACAGATACTCGTCATGAAGGACGCCGGTTTACGGATCAGACCCAGCTCCTACAGAGAGAGAACAAAAGAGCTTATTATGATGATGAAGCACCAGACAAGACTCTTCTACAAAACGCATGTTGTTCATACTCACTCGTGCCCAAGAATAATCCATTGGCACTGTAGGTGGAGGGACCTCTTTAGCAGGCAAAATTACACCCTTGGCTACTAGATTATCATACACAGATCTATAGGATACACAAACATGTGGTTACTGAAGGCCAGGTTAAGATGTTAAATTGGCAAGTATGCAAAGATGACATACTTGATGACGTCTCCCAGCTCATCGAAGCTCTTGGGCACAAAGGCTCCTGCCTCTTCCAGAGCTTTGTTCTTAGCAAGTGCAGTCTCAGACGCCTGGTTAGCACAAGCTCCAGCGTGGCCAAACTGGACCTAAACACATAAAGCAGGATACAATCAGTTCATTCAGCAATTAACATTTGAAACAGGTTAAACTCATAGCTGCTTAAAAAGGTCTTTTGGACACATTATAAGCAATGCACCTCAGATGAGAACAGGGTGGCGCAGGTTCCTATGCACCAGCAGACCACAGGTTTGGTGATCCTGCCTTCTTTAATGCCTTTGCAAATCTTGTACTCTTCATTTCCTCCAATCTATAAGCAAAGAGAAGGCCCATGAATGGATTGCGAATTTTAGTGACTGTAAACTTTTTAAAGACGAGGAAGAATGGGCTATAAGTAGCTGAACAAATGGCTCACTAACCTCTCCGAGCACAACAATCATTTTGACTCCGGGTGTGTCCTGATACCTCAAGATGTGATCCATAAAGACAGAGCCTGGATACCTGCAGGAAACACATACCCCACAGGTATAAACTCACACGCAAATTGTTCAACTGATGAAATGCATCAAAGCATTTGTAGTATTAAACAGACGTCGACTTGAACACACACCGGTCTCCTCCGATGGCAACTCCTTCATAAACTCCATCTGTAGTGCGTGAGATGATGTTATTGAGCTCGTTGGACATTCCACCAGAGCGGGAGACGTAGGCCACACTGCCCGGCCTGTACAGCTTAGACGCCAGGATGTTATCCAGCATCCCACCCGTATTACCGATCTTAAAACAGCCTGGTTTAATACCGCCGACCTACAACACATGCACCCCCCCCCACAGACTTAATATTATTACTACTACTACTACTACTACTACTACTAATAACAACAACAACAACAACAACATATCAAATTACATAATTACAATACATAAAATAAAAACTACAACAACATTATAATTTTACATGCATTATATATACATTTTAGATAAAAATTATACAGTTACTACATTTGTATTTTAATAAATTAGTATAAATTAGTAAAATTAGTAATTAATTAATAATAGTCAAATTATATAATATAAAATGGATTATTATTATTGTTATTAAAAATAATTATTTCTAATTTTAATGTCATAAATGATGAATTATACATAAAATCTATTTTTAGTTTTATAACCGGTATTAATAGTAATAATAATAAACAACAATTTCATGTGCACTGTAGAATTAATCGTTTTTTATTCTCCAATGTATATATAACAATATAACATTATTAGTTATTTAATGACAAATTAAGTCATAATTTAATTATATGTATATATAAAATATAACTAATTTATTATAGTTATATTATTAATATTTATCATAAATTGTATATTTATATATATATAATATAATAACATTATATCTATATTTAATTACTTTGTTTAATAATAATAATTACTACTACTACTACTACTACTACTACTACTACTACTATAAATATTTATAATAAAATACAATTTTATATGTAATGGAAAATTAATAAAGTTAGACAATTCTTTTTTCTTCTAAGATGAAGTTTTTATTATTATCATTGTTGTTGTTGACGTTTATTATTATTATTATTATTAAACTTACAACACACACAAAACATTTTTGGTCTCTTATCATTGGCCTGTAGAGGGCACACAAACCGACCATTATTCCAACCAATTTGTCCCCCAAGTACATACACACAGCTACACATACAAGTATCCAACAGAAAGGCAGTTTGGAGTCATACCGTTGCAGGACCAATGATAGTGACTCCCTTCTCCTCTGCCATCTTGATGATCTTGCGAGTCAAAGCCTCTGGAATACCCTCAGCTATGATTGCCATAGTGCGGATCTGTATATAAAAAAAACCCCACATAGAACAGATGAACAATCAGACCACACTGGTTTGTAAACAAACATTTAAGCAATAGTTCACTGCAAGGTAGAGTCAGATGAACATATAGTGTGATTGGATGCTGATCTCAGACCTGTGGGTACTGCATGGTCTCTATGGTGCTGTCGTAGGCAGAGCGGAGGGAGGCAAAACTGATGAGCACATCTACTTCTGGATGTTTCTTCATTGCATCAGCCATGTTCTTATAGACCGGCAGCAGGATCTCCTTATGACCCCAATAAAACTTCTGCTTATGGTCTCCACTGATTAAAATAGAAATAATGTGTTTCCACCCCTAGACATCACTCTATAATGAAATCTGTCCCATATTAGGGTTTTAAATGTAAGCATAAGACTTACGTGAAGGGGTAAACCATGGCTGCTACTGACGGCTCTTGACGTGAGCAAACATAATCGAAGTCCAGCATGCCCTGCACTGCACGCGTCTGCATCCCCCACACTATAGCCTTGGTGTGGTTACTGAACAGAGTGGTGCTTTTGGCTACAGAGATAAAGGAAGGACAAAGAGAAACAACAGAGGGGAGGAAAGGAGGGGGAAAAACATCATTACAGTATGTTTCTCACTAAGAGTAGAATAAGACAACATGTTGAAGTCAGTCTCTGTAGGCTGACGATCAAAGGTTTTCTGAATACATTCATGAAAGGAATGATTTAGCACATTGTCCTTAACTTAGCATAAACAATATGTTGCATGTCTTGTTATCAACTAAATGTTATGAAGACATGCAGAACAGAATATATGCATAATATAGGCTTTATAATATATAATTCATCTAAACAGGGCAGAAAATGTTCAAATTCAACAAAAGATGGAGCATTCTGAAGACCTGGGACTTTACTACTTAAAAAATCTGGATGTTACAATCCTTCAAGTGAGCCATATAAGCCAGAGGACTCGATTGAAAAATATACAGATAAAATATACAAAAAAAAAAAAAAAAAGACAACAGGCCATTTACAATAAATAGTTGAACATTTAGTAATATGTCACGGTTGCCATGCAAAGTCGCATTAATACAGGAAGTGCGGCCACAGAGGTATTTACAACGGCTTTGAAGGTGACCCATCCATTAGAAGTGAGAATCAGAATAAAGAATTTTATTATCTAGCGCAGAGGTGCCCAAACTCGGTCCTGGAGGGCCGGTGTCCTGCAGAGAAACTCGGTCGCCGGTGTCCTGCAGAGTTTAGCTCCAACTTGCTTCAACACACCTGCAGGGAAGTTTCTAGTTTCTAGTGTAAGAGCTTGATTAGCTGGTTCAGGTGTGTTTGATTAGGGCTGGAGCTAAACTCAAAAAGCAGGACTCTGGCCTTCCAGGACCGAGTTTGGTGACCCCTGTTGTAGACATTTGGCAGTGTAATTTTGATAACTGTAATGAGCACAAAAGCAGATAACTCTGCTTGAGATAAATAAATGACACTATAAAGAATTAAAACAACTGATATATACTGTTATCCACCATAT